ATATTCTAAAAGTAATTTAAATACTCTTGAGTATTTAAATTACTCGAAGTATTTAAAATACCAAAATGCCTACCTGCTGATACAACACGTGTTAAAAAAAAATTACGCAAATGCACGCCTGGATTTAGCGCATTCTGCTCTGCATTCTGCAATGTTTTTTGTTATGTTATTGGTTAAAGGTAGTAGACAGAATGTCTACTACCTTTTTGGTCACTAATAACTCACTATCATCACTAGTCAATCATCAAAATTTAAAATTAATTTCTTTTATCGTTAGTGGGACATTCTAAGAAAAACTAATAAAAAATTGTGAGTGAATTAAATATTCTGCATTTCAGGAATAAAAACAGAAATTATTGTTTCCATACTCATATCTATTTTTTTTTTTTAATTTTTTGATGATCTTGAAATACCTACAGGTTTACCTTACACATACAATATATTTTTTAAGTCACATCTTAAGAGTTTCAGATTTAATATTTCACAAAAATATTTTAAATACTGTTAATGGATATTTTCAATATACAGGGTGTTTCGCATAAAAACTGACATAGAGCAAGGGCATGTAGGGGAACCCAAAATATGGTGATTTAACGCAACTTACCTGAGAAGTTATAGGTCTTAAAAAATCAATATCAGTTATATACTCTTGGTTATATTATACTTAAACCTAGAAAAACCATATTTGGTGTGAGAGTACCAAGAACAATAATAATCAACAGTATAAGTAGAGTTCAATTGAAGCACTTTAAAGGGTCGATAAGAGATGATGCACCATTAGAATGTGACAATATTTTAACTCGTTAGCGGACTTTAAAAATTATTACTTTATTTTATGGGGAATTTAATTTTAAAACTTTTGTTACTCTTTATTAGTTTTCAAAAAACTTTCAACAACTAATAATACATATTGTAGCTGTGTTATTTAAAATTATCGAAAATTCAAAAGTTGGCTATGAATTTAAAAGTCAAACTTGACGATCGGGAAAAAGAGGCTTTTAATTTTGGTAATTGTTGCTGAGTGTTTTGAAAATGGTCGGGAAGTTTTCATTTAGCGAACAAGTTGACATGCTATTAGTGTTAGGTTTAAGTTGTTTGTTTTTCTTTTAAATTATTCTTCCAACTTTTTGCTGATCGTCAAGTTTGACGTTTAAATTCATAGCCAACTTTTGAATTTTCTACGATTTCAAATAACAGCATACAATACCTACGTATTATTACTTATTCGAGTTTTTGTTGCTCTCAGTACACTCACATCGTGTACCAAATATGGTTTTTCTAGGTTTAAGTATAACTGATATTGATTTTTTTTCGAAATTTGAAACCCCACTTTCAAGGCCTATAACTTCTCAGGTTTGTCACCTTTTCAGATGTTGACATAAAATAAAATAATTTGAACTGGTACTTTTTATTTTTTGGAAGATATCGTTATTTATTTGGTAATAAAAAAAATGTTAAAATGAAACGAATTTGGCGAACAGTTATGCCTGTAGTATAACAACCCTAGGTTCGACAAAAAATAAGTAAACGTAGTTGTGGCCAAAAATATGTGATCGTCATAAGGAATACCTACGTTGTGTGTATCTATTTTTATATTGACCGGAAGGCGCTGGCTACTAACTTTGTAGAGGGGATGTATGGTTTAATTATAGAAAACAAAAGCAGAGTAAATACACCTAACCTTTATTTACATACAATTCCAATTAAACATGTGACAAATAGAAAGAACAACAAAAACATTAACAACCATTAAACATAAAATGAGAGTGCCAGGCTCACCTAGAGCTCCTGTGGGGAAAGAGCATGGCAGAGAAACCCACGATCGTTGCTCTTACCACCCAAATATGAATGCAAAACAACCGCTAACCAAAA